TCACTCCATGTTTGTGTTTTGTAATATACAAAGTCACTGCATCCAGAAAATAATGTAAATGTGAGCCACTTATAAACCTTGATTCATTATTTTGATGGTTTTTTGAAACTCGTAATTGAGGTTTGTGACCACTAACCACAAGACATTCATTTAGGATGAATGACAGTCATAGTCGACGATGAACAATCCACTGGGTACTACCCGTTGTAACAGACCGGTTGCAAGTGTCTTCTGAGGGTTGATGGCAGTTGGTGGTAAAATAATTCCCGTTTGTGCTCACAGTAAAACTTGAGATTTTGCAACATGTTGGCTGCAGCTCTGAGGCAAAACCTTTACATTGAGAGGTGAAACTCTCCATTTACAGTATGTATCACACCTTTTCAAGTGTTTCTGTCACTTGGCTAGTAGCTAGCAAGTGTTTGCAGATAAATGGAAAAAAAACTAGAGACAACTGTGCTAGGAACCAAAGCAATCATAACGAGGTTTTTTGTTGCAGCACTGTGGCAAATTTAACATGTGATTAAAGTCCCAGTTGGGTATTTTGGTTGTTTTTATTATGAATTGTACAAAACCAAGTTATGTTGCTGATTTGTCAGGCTGAACAGGAAAATGTACAAAATGAAACGAAACTTACAGGTCTGTTGCATCATCTGCTATAAGAACATTGAACTACACATAGGAAGCTTTGATAGTATGTGTGTAGATAAAATAAAGGTTAAAAGTTAATGTCACTTTTTCCAAATTGTTTTTGATAAGGTTGTACTAATGTTATATTTGGCCGGAAGTGTGAGGTGTGAATTTTAATTAACTCCAATATAGTACATTACGGGTCAGGAGCATTACAGCCTGTAGATGGCACTAAAAGGACTATAACCATGTAACATCAAAAGACACAAAAACATCTCACCCAAAATATGAAGAAGCAGCCGCAGCCATCAGTTGTTGATATGCACATTAATGCTTGCTACATGACAGACCTCAATCACTTCATTGATCGTCCACAGTTACACAAAAAAATGCAATACTGATACAGTACTGAGTTGCTGAGTGAAGTGATGTTATTACTATTAAATTGTATTTAGCCATTTATAGGAATGCATTTTAGGTTGTACAATTAATTTTACAAAAGCCACTTTATTATAAGCTAACACAGCATTAACAGCATACAAATGTGTAATGTAATGTTTTTAACAACTCACATGCTGAAATTTGTCGTAGGATTAACTTCAAATATAATAAACATTAACAACCAAATATTTGATGAAAAATAACCACCATAAAGAAATACTAGGCTGTCTTTTCCTTGCAAATCCTGCTCTGCCTACTAAGATGTTTGAGACGATGCATGGTTATATGGTCTCACAGCAGAGTACACACACTCCTGTGGTGACTCTTTCATCTTGTTCTTCTTCACTCGATTTCTTGAGGAGAAATTCAGCGCTACATAGTTTACTGCGTCTGACTCTCCATCCTGTGAATAACAATTATGTAGTTTTTATTTTAGTAAAACAAAACAAAAACAAGGCTTCTGTCAACATATTTGTCAGCCTGGCTGAAGAAAACATTTAAATTGACTATGGCAGATAAAATTAACTAAATATGATGCAGTGATTATTATGAGACAACATATGATTGAAGAAAGGAGAAAAAAATTATTGCGCTTTAGCTAAAGCCTCCATCACTCAGCCTGAGAGACCAGTCAGCGACCCTAAGGCAAACTTCGATCACTCGGGTATTTCCCCGACTGTTCAGCGAGGTAAAGTGGTGTCAAAGCTAGTGCCTCACCACAAACCTCCTTGTGATCGCTTTGGTTACTTACTAAATTACTGCCTTATTTTTGCAGTCAACATGCTTTAGAAACTGCAACTTTCATGCAAATTGTGTGCTAGCATGGCTAGTGACCAAAGCAATAGAGATTGAAAATGTGATGTCATTCAGGGGTAAAACCGCAAAGGATTCTGGGAACTCGTGGCAAG